ACAAAAGCGATATGTAGTATGAATTTTTCAATCTTCACTGTCACTTCATTCACAAAATGAATCTTGCTATTTAGGGCCTTTAGGTCATAATGCTTTTTAATTTTTAGATTTAACTTGTTATCATTTTATGCATGGTTGGTTTTCACTAATGATTTACTACCAGGGACCTCTGTTTTTATGTGCTGGTTTAGTGGTTTGCCAAAAGAGATCAAAACATTGATAGTGGGAGGAATGAAGATGGCTGGAAGCTGCAGATGTTTGGTTCTGATGAAGAAATCACCACTCAGATTCCAAACCAAGCCCAATCTGTTGTGAAGGATCAGGTGAAGTTCTGGTGTCAGAATATAAACCTGTTCCTGATGTAGATTATCTACAGGTTTGTTCTCTTCTTGGTCACTATGTAACTTGCATATGCAATAAGCCCTTTTAAATAGTTTTTAACCCCGGAATCACAGTAAAGAGGTTAAGCAGTGTCAATGGGGCTAGAATGTCAACTGCTATGATGTTTCATTTCATGAAATTTTGGATAGCAGATCTGCTTTGCTGAATTTTTACTCAAAGTTTTGGGAAATGTTGTTTCTTGTTTTCCAGTCTTTTGTGTGATCATATATTTGTTGCTAGCTGTGGACTCTTATATGTGAGTTTATTTTGTTGAAGGTCCATTGAATTTGTTATGGTGGTTACAACAGTGAATACCTGTTGTATGGGTAATCAAATTTTTTTTATTGATCTTTTTAATGATTTCTCTCTTTTCCAAGAGTTATTGGCAATTCAACAAGGGCCAAGAAATATTGGCTTTTTTGGAACACGAAATATGGGATTCATGCATCAAGAACTTATTGAAATTCTTAGTTATGCCATGGTCATAACGGTATTATGCTTTATTTTATTTCTTTTTCAAGCATGTAATAGTTCTGTTATCAATGGGCAAAAGGAGATGATCTTTACTAAACTTCATGTTAACCTTCTTATATACTTTTGCTGGACTTCACTATTTCTTATATACTTTTAGATTATACAACATGTAAGTCCTTAGTTAGGATGGCAATATGTGTTTTCTAATTACATTTAAATATTACAACTTTATCAAATTTGTATTTATGTCAAAATATCTCAAAAGTTCACTGAGTTATAAATAAATTAACATCCTAAAAAATAAAATAATTGTGTTAATAATTATAAATGTAATTTTTATTTTGTTAAAATGATTACCAATAGAACAAAAAAGAAAATCTTAATTCATCTTTCTTCACCTTTCTTTTCATTTTAGATTTAAATTTGAAAAAAAAATTCAAAATTTGATTTTTTTTAAGGAAAAGGTAGGAATAATTTTATATTTAAGAAAAATTCTAATAACAAAATTGTTCTAAAAAATTTTCTATTTAATTATAATAATGCCATTCATAGTAGAAGCGGTCCCCACTTCTAAAATTAGTTTCTAATTTTATTTTTTTAATTAAATGAAAAGAAGTAAAAATTATAAATTTTCAAATATTTCATAATTATTTTTAAGCATTGAAAAACATAAAAATAATTTTTAAAAATTCACCTAACCCTAGAGATGTTGGACACGATGGGAACACTCTTGTTGTGTATAAAGTGACAAAAGAATGAAAAAGAATAGGTGAAACACATATTTTCCATTTTTTTACATGTTTTTTTATTAATGGTTTGTCATGTTTTGCAATAATATTTTAGTTGACAAGAAAGAAGTAATACAGTTTAATAAGAATTTGATTGCTTCTAAATAATATAAAAGGTTCTAATGTTCGGGAGCTCAACAATATCAGCATTCCAGTGTACTATTTTTGTTATGTGTGGCCATCCATGGTGTACCTAAGAAGTTCAATAGCTTCTTTATTCTGTACCATTGATTCAGCTCGCACGTGTTATGTATGTTGTGCATTTTAGTTATCTATATGTAATGCTTATCAATTTACTGATTGTCACTTAATGGAATTGTTATTTATTTCTCTATTTTGGTTTTTTAAAACGTTATATTAATTTGTTATGTTATGTGTGTTTATTTTTTTATTATCATTTAAAAAATGTAGAATATGAATATTAAAGATGATTTTTCCTTTTTTACTTGTTTTTATTTTAATTATAATTTTTATTTATTTATGTTTTATTATCTTATGTTTATATGTATTTATTTTTGTAGGATGACAATTAGAGAAAATAGAGGAAGAAGATCTAGAGGCAAAGGACAGGAACATAGTATACAAGGTCTTGGTTCAAGACATCAATTAATTCTCAATGAAGGTCAAGAGAATGACTTAGAGAATTTATACATGTATGTTGGAGTAAAATTTTGAAAACTTGTTAAATATTATATATATTTTCATGATTGTATTGTATTTTTTATTAATAAATGATTATATTATTTTTTTAAATTAATTATGAGCAAATTGCAATATTTTTATTACATGAAGTATTATGAAAATGAAATACAAGTTTTTATTATAAACAGATATTTATATTGGAAAAAAAATTACCAACAAAATTTTAATTATAGAATTTTCAACTAAAAGTAAAATTAGTGACCGAATTTAGCGACAGAATTTTTGTTGATAATTTAGCAATGGAATTTTTGTTAGTAATTTAGCGATGGAATTTTCGTCGTTAATTTTCATCGCTGAATTAGCAGCGGTTGTTTTATTGACGGATTTTTTTTCATTGTTAAATGCATTTAGCGACGAAAAAAAATCGTGGGTAAAATAATTGCTGTTAATTTAGCGATAAAAATCAGCAACGAAAAATTAGTGACAGAATTTCTGTTAGTAATTTAGTGACGGAATTTTTATCGCTAATTTTTCGTTATTGATTTTTGTTATTAAATTAGCAGTAGTCATTTTACCGACAGATTTTTTTTCATTATTCAATACATTTAGCAATAGATTTTATTGGTTTAACAACAAAAATTTTTCATCGTTGAAGGGCTATTTTCTTATAATGCATGCAATCCACGGCAGTCCAATATTTATCAAAGACCAAAAATTAACATCAATATCATAAACTTGTACCCCTTAAAACAAAAGCAGAAGCAAAAGCACAAGCTGACCCAACCCAAGATGACCACGACGACTGAAGCCCAACCAAAGAACAGCCGAAGATGACTGCTGTAGGGCAGAAGACCGAACCCAAGATGACCGGCAACGCTGTTGGGAAAGGCAAAAAGGAAGTTGGGACAAATACTAGTCTAGCTTGGGGCCACCCACGCCGAGACTAATGTGTTACCCCGTAAAACAAGCATGACATGTTGGTAAACACGTCAACGGCCACACTTACCTAATATTGTGACTTCTAAACACCGAATGGTGGCCCCATTTAACTTTTCAACTAACAATCTTAGAAATCCATTCACACAAAGCATCCTGTGGTCCTACGCGGGTTTTACCAAGTCCGAAAAGGAAGTATGATTAATTATTTTTACTGCCTCCTAAAAAATCAAAACAAAAAATTTGTGTTCAAGTCAACTATACTAGTCTTCGGAGAGGAAGAGTTAAGCGTTCTCCAGAAGTCCAGTGTAACTAATTGAAACTGTTCTGGCACCTCGTGGACAAGCATATTCTTGTTTATTCAGAAACGGCATCTCGTGGACAAGCATTAAATATTTATTCAGAAACGGCATCTCGTGGACAAGCATATTCTTGTTTCAGCATTTCGCTGTAGGGCCAGTTGGCTTTATACTTCTACATGCCGTTCTGCAAACTTACAAAATCAAGTTTGGCAATCAGTTTTTTCTATTGACTTTTATTATGAAATTGATTACGAGGTATCTAATTCTATTTTTAGCTTATCTTATCCTCTGGAAGCCACTAATTCATTCCGGTGCTTACAAATTTTAATTTGCTTTTAATTGCAATGATTATGTTCCTAGTCTTGCTGTTTGTTTCCTAAAAGTTAGAAAAGAATGAAAGCTTTTGCTTAATTGTTTTTCTTTGCCCTTACTTATTTGACGGGTAATGGTATAGAAGCCAACTACAAGCCGTGTATGCATTAATTAGGATGACGAAGTCCTTTAGATTATTCCGGACGCTAAGAGTACTAGTCTTTAGAGAAAGATAGGTTTAGCATTAAGTCTTCTTCCAGAACTCTATTTATATTGAAACCTCTCTGCACTTTTAACCACACTTCAATTCGTCATTACTCTCATAGTTGCTTGTACCTTGCAATTATGGACTCGTTTCTTGGTCATATCATCTTATTCATGCTGTTTTTCCTTCCATATTCTAGCTTTGCTCAAAACAATGGCAGGGTGGCTGTGAATGAAACCATCACGGCATCCGACAATGCCACCCCATGGCTTTCACCTTCTCGCGATTTTGCTTTTGGCTTTCGTAAACTTGGTGAACCAAATCTCTTCTTGCTTTCCATCTGGTTTTACAATATACCAGACCAAACTGTTGTTTGGTACGCCGATGATGGCAATCCTGTTTCAGTAGGATCTAGAGTAGTTTTAAATCCTGATATGGGTCTTGTTCTCTACGATCCCCAAGGAAAACAATTGTGGAAATCACCTAATGTTCAGTATGTTATTGCATATGGTTCCATGAGTGACACTGGCAACTTTATGCTCCTGCGTAGTGACTCTAATTCTGAGTGGGAGAGTTTCAATTATCCAACTGATACCATGTTGCCTACTCAAATAATGCAATCTGGAGGGGTTCTTAATTCTCGACAATATGAGAACAACTTCAGACCTGGAAGGTTTCAGTTCCGTTTGCTCCTAGATGGGAATCTTGTGCTCAATACGAGAGATGTACAATCAAACTTTGCTTACCAGGCCTACTACGTAAGTAACACTTATGATCCTTCCAACACATCTAATTCAGGTTATCAAGTAGTCTTTAACCAAACAGCACATATGTACATATTGAGAAGAAACAACCAGAGTGTGGATCTTACGCCGAATTCAGTGCCTAATGTGAAGGATTATTATCATAGGGCAACTCTCGATTTTGATGGAGTTTTTGTCCAATATTCTCATCCAAAGTCTTCCTCTGAGAATCTTGGTTGGAGTATTGTTAGGATGTGGCCAAATAATATATGTGTTGATAACACTATATCAGAAGAACAAGGCAGTGGGACTTGCGGGTTTAACAGCATTTGTCGACTTGATGGTAGCAGAAGGCCGGTTTGTGAGTGTCCAAAACATTATGAATTAGTTGATCCTAACGACAAGAATGGAAGGTGCAACCCAAGTTTTATACAGATTTGTGAAGAAAACAATAGCAAATCTGTAGAAGATCTCTATGATTTTGAAGAGCTAATAAATATTGATTGGCCATATAATGATTATGAGCAAATGAACCCTATTGCTGAAACTGAGTGCAGAAATTCTTGCCTGCATGATTGTTTCTGTGCTGCTGCTGCTTTCAATGGTGGTCACTGCTGGAAGAAGAAACAACCTCTTGCAAATGGGAGAAATGATCCCAGTGTGGGTGTGAATGGGAAGGTTTTCTTGAAGTTCAAAAGAGATGATATGCTTCATCCCGAGAATAAGAAAAAGGAAAAGAAGGATAAGGGAACTTTAATTTTAGTTGGATCAATGCTCGGTACCTCTTTGTTTGTGAATGCTATATTCATGGCTACCTTTTGCATGGGCTTTTTTCTCATTTACCACAAGAAGATCAATAAATTTCAAAATGTTAACAGTGATGCAGGGACAAATCTTCGTTGTTTTACATACAGAGAGCTGCACGAAGCTACGAATGGGTTCAAGGAAGAAATTGGAAGGGGTGCTTTTGGTATTGTCTACAAGGGAGAAATAGTTACTAGTGGCGCCAGAAATCTTATTGCAGCTAAAAGGTTGGATGCAATAATTCAACATAGAGAGAGAGAATTCAAAACTGAAGTGAAAGTAATCGGTCAAACTCATCACAAAAATTTAGTTCGACTACTTGGATTTTGTGATGAAGGAGATAATAGGTTGTTGGTATTTGAGTTCTTAAGTAATGGGACTTTAGCATCATTCCTCTTCGGAGATACCAAACCCAGTTGGAACCAGAGGACTCAAATTGTAATAGGGATTGCAAGAGGACTCCTTTACCTACACGAGGAATGCAGTACCCAAATAATTCATTGTGATATAAAGCCTCAAAACATACTTCTCGACGATTACTACATTGCTCGAATTTCTGACTTCGGATTGGCTAAACTTTTGATGATGAATCAAAGTCAAACCAATACAGGTATTAGAGGAACAAAAGGGTATGTTGCACCAGAGTGGTTCAAAGGCAAGCCAGTCACCACAAAGGTTGATGTGTATAGCTTTGGTGTCATACTATTGGAGATTGTTTGTTGTCGAAGAAATGTTGGGGATATGGAGGTTGGTAGAGAAGAGAAAGCAATTCTAATTGATTGGGCTTATGATTGCTTTCGAGAGGGAACGTTAGATGTTCTGGTAGAAGATGACATGGAGGCCTTAAATGACAGGAAGAAATTAGAGAGATTTGTGACAATAGCTCTTTGTTGTATTCAAGAAGATGCTTCTCTAAGGCCCACGATGAGAAAGGTATGCCAGATGCTTGAAGGGGTGGTTGAAGTTCCTATCCCCAACCAAGTTTCTTTTACAGAATAGGCTTGTTTGCTACTTTTATATGACAATACTCTGTTTATGTTTTATTCATGGATAACCTACTTCATGTATTAATTATCTTCCTCACTAGCTATATATTTTGATTTATGAATTTCTCCATCTTGTGATATGTTTCACTGTTTAATGTTGTATCTGAATCAAGGATATCAGAATTATCAAATGAAAAGTACAAAGAAAAATAAATGATCCATATAAACTTAATTTTTCTTATTAATTAAAAACTAATAACTTTTTCTATGTTCGGGTTCATCTATTTATTTTCTTCTTATTTTATTAGATGGATAAATAAATAAGAAGAGATTTGCTTGGATTATTCAAGAAAGTTGAGGCATAGAATAGAAAACTATTCTGACAAAGGAAACAAATGAGGCTAGAAGAGAAAACGGAAACAAACATAAAGAAATCAATTTACACTACAAGAAAAAATAGAATTACTGATGGAAATTACCAATAGAAAAATGTGTAGCTAATTCGAGGCTAATCAATGATAGATTAGCGATGGAATTTCGATCACAAAAAGATTCCCTTGCTAAAATTAATGATGCAAACTCCAACACATTTGTGACCAATTATGCCAAAGTTCAATATCGACTAATCAACAGCAAAAATTTGGTCACTAAGTAGAACATATTTTCCATTTAATTAGTGGCATAAATCCAACAAAATAGCTTTGATTAGTGACTGATTAGCTAGGGCCATATTACATTTTGCCTTTTTCAAGAAAAAAATTGAACTCGTGCAAATATTATGTTATGTCTTAAAGCCACAGAAACAAATATTACACCACATTATATATAATTATTATTGGAAGGGTGAGGCTCATGGAAGAAAAAGAGAAAAGGAAACAACGATTCTTTTTTCACTTTGGCTGCAAATTTGTGCCAAGTACTTGTACAACATGGAAACATGGAACACCAAATGCACCGTGGAAAACTTAGGCAGAAGTGCTAACTGGTAAGCTACCTTACCAACCTACTCCAAAATCTCCAATGGGCCGATATACCTTGGACTAAGCTTCCTGTTCTTTCCAAATCTCATCACCTCCTTCATGGGAGACACTCAAAAAAAGATATGTGTCACTGATGGCAAATTCTAATTTTCAGCACCTATAGTCCACATATACCTTCTATCGACTCTAGGCAGCCAGCAACCTATCCCTTATCAACTACACTTTAGTCACTACATCCATCACCAAGTCTAATCCTAAGAGTTTGCTCTCACCCGTCTTAAACCATCCGAAGGGGACTTACAACACTTACCATACAGAACCCTAAAAGACACCATTTGAATGCTCACTTGATAATTATTTTTATGGGCAAACTCCATCAAGGGTAGATAGTGATCCCAACTTCCTTTAAAATCCAGAACACAAGATTGCAACATGTCCTTTAGGATCTGAATCATCCTCTAGATTGACCAACAATCTGAGAGTGGAATGCGATACTAAAATCCACCAAGTCCCCAAGGCCTCTTAGAAGGCTCTCCAAAATTGTGTCATAAACTGTATGCCACGATCAGAAATGATGGATACTAGTACACCGTAGATCTTGACAATCTCATCAAAATATAGTTGTTTATACTAGATACACCATAGGTCATCTTAACTAGGAGAATGTGTGCTAATTTTGTCAATCTATCCACAATCACCCATATAGAGTCTTATCCTCGAGAAGTACGTGGCAATCCCATGAAAAAGTTCATAGTAACCATTTCCCACTTCCATTCTTGTATTTCAATTTATTGATGCAATCCTACCTATTTTTGATGTTCAGTGTTTACTTGTTGACAGACTAAGGATCGAGAAATGTAATCTGGTATGTCTCATTCATGGCTTTCCACTAATCTAATGACTTTAAATCTTGATCCATTTTAGTATATCTTGGGTGAACCGTATACTTTGAGTTGTGAGCTTTTTCCAAAATAAAAACCACCACCACCAACTCCTAGTCATGAGTGGAGTAATTTTGCTCATGTTTCTTTGGCTATCGTAAAGCATATGCCACCATGCGTCTGTTCTACATTAGAACACATCCAAGCCCTACTAAAGAGGCATCATAATACACTAAAAACCTACCAGTTCTGGTGGGTACCATCAACATGGGAGCCAAAGTCAAGCAACCTTAAACTTTAAGAAGCTCTCCTCACATGCATTGGACTACTGAAACTTCATGTTCTTTTAAGTCAACTAAGTCAAAAGAGCAACAATCTTGGAGAAGTCTTGTATAAAGCAGTGATAAAATCCTAGTAGCCTAAGAAAACTACATATCTCTATTACTAAAGTAGGTCTTGGCCACTGCTACACTGCCTCAATCTTCTTAGAATCCATCTCAATCCCATCCTTGGAGATAATATGTCCAGGGAATGCCACGCTATCAAGCCAAGACTTGCACTTCGAGGTCGAAGGACATTACTAAAAACTAGTAATGCCTATACCGCTTTCTAAAAGTAGTCTTTAGAATATTCTCCTTCTTGATTCTTAACTGATAATATCCCAAGTAGATATCAATTTTCTAAAAACAAGTAGCTCCTTGCAATTGATTGAATAGACCATCGATCCTACACAAACAGATACTTATTACGTGCAATCACTTTGTTGAGCTGCCTATAATCGACACTCAATCTTAGTGATTCATCCTTCTTTTCACAAAAAGCACAAAAGCACTCCAAGGAAAAATGCTAAGCTGAATGAAACCTTTATCGAGTAAATCCTATTGTTGCCCCTTTATGGTATGGATGTGTAAATATAAGCTATCTCCTTGGTGTCATATTGATACAAAATTCAATTTATAATCATAATTGGGCCTCTATTAAAAGGCTCTCGCTCCATATGCCATGGAAAACCTATGACTCTAATATCAAGTTTGTCACGGTCCCAACTCGAGAGTCACGACCAATGCCGAGGATGAGCAACTCATCCTTGATAAGCCTTGAGGACAAATTGGAAATTTGACCAATTGTGAAAATTTTACAAAAATTTTGGCAAAGTCTCTACTAAAATTAGACATCTACCAAAATTTTCTTCTTGCCACACAAATTCCTATTTCAACAACAGATTCACAAGACAGATTGTATATAAGCAAGAGTAAACAATTTGATAATAAATCGCTACTTATGCTACCAATACATAAATTCTATGCAGTCATAAAGCTTTTGAGTAATGAACAAAACAAAGTAAATGATTTTCAAAACAAGACAAAACATATAATTCAAAATGATGTCTCCTATCCATGGCAGCAGAGAATTCCAAGTGGATATGAGTTCTATATACACATGCATTACTACATTGACGGTGCAACTACAAGCACAAAAGTTTAAGCCCACACATGAGTACGAGTGCGTGTGGGACTCACCCACAGAAGTGACTACCAACTCAATGGAGAGGACCAATGGTGGGATTAGTGCTAGACTCTAGTGGGAGAAAAATGAAAGGGCTGAGACATAGCTTAGTGAATCATAATAGACGTGAATCCAAGTTTAAGAAAATATACAGGAAACACTCATTTGTTTGCATAATGAACAACACATTTCAAAATATAAGGCAACATCCTCAGACCAATATTAACCATATAAATAACATATAATTTGTATAAGGGCATGTCATCATAAGGTTACATGAACACCACGAAATCCTATAAGAGTTGCTTATAAACACATTACCGACAACAAAACACACCAAGGTACTATAGGCAAGAATCACATGTGAAAATCGTGGGTGAGACTCATAGGCGGGAATACAACCACCGTCCATACTTATCACTGTCTCTGCTTACCACCATTCTTACGGTACCTCAAGTTAATAAAGCATTAGAATTCCAAGATCTTAGTAAATTCGTATCACTCTTAATTCTTCCATTTAGAAACACATGCTCACCTTATTCATAATTGTGCATTCATCATATGCATAACATGGTTAGAACGCATAAACAATGATAAAAACATAGAAAAATTTATGATTTTTGTAAAAAGCATGGAAACACATACTATTACTCGTAGTGCAAATGAAGTCGGTAGAGTTTAAAGTGGAAGCATTACAAAGCTAACAGTTTTGGTACAGCGACCTCCAATGAATAGTAAAATTGAGTATAAACTTTTGCAGAGATTATCTTGCCTATGTGGTCCTTAAACTGAGAGACAAACATTCTAGAGGGCCTTGAATCAACATGTCCATATCTAAGGAAGCAAGAAGAGAAGAAGATTGGCTGTCATTAACTTCTAATTTGGAGCATGCTACATGTATACACTAAAATTGAATACATATATATATATATATATATATATGCATATGTTGGCTTAAAGAATGCCCTCAACTCTTGGATTACAAGTGTTTAATGGTAGGGTGATGTTATAGAGACAATGGGGGATGAGCAAGGTAGATGAGATCGAGATGATTAAACCCATGTGAATGTTTGGTGAGAACAAAAATCAAAGCAAGTGGTTTCTTTCAAAGTATCTATTCATTTATAGGGTTGAATCTGTGGAAATACTCCTAAACCTAGACCCTACACGAAGATGAAGATGATCACTTGTGTGTATAGATCTATGGTTTTAGTTTAGTTTTGGCTTCCTCTCTGTGTTGTTAGCATGGGAAAAAGAAAAAAAAAAACAAGAAAATAGGAAAGAAGTTACCTGCGGTAGCCAGCCAAAGGAGCTCATTGGCGATACAGGGTTTAGGTTTGGGTCTAGGTCCGGGTCCTTCCCCTTTCATTCTAGATCAAGTCAATGGCCAATGCAAGGTCAGGCAGCAATCACTAGGAATGGTCAAGCAAGAGAGAGAGAGAGAAAAGATAGGACGAGGGAGGAAAGCCTAATCGGCAGCAAAGGTGCAATAGTGATTGGCTATGGCATGCGCAAAGGATGAAAGGAGAGAAAGAGAGGGGAAAAAACAAAAGAAAAGGGGAAAAAAGTATGGAAGGGGAGGCTTGTGGAAGAAGAAGAGAAAAAGAAAAAAATAATTTTTTTCACTTTGGCTCCAAACTTTCTAA